TCACTGAGTTACGCAAGCCCCTTCGCCACGACAAGGCAGTGATCCATGAAGGGGTTGTTTATTTATTAAACCAATTTATATAGCCACCCATCTCGCCACAGGCGACTCTGGGTGGCGTACAACAAAGCTAAAAATCAAATACATTAAAAATATAAAAATCAAAATAGAACAAAAAATAAAAGGATGTTAAAAATAAGGGAACCACGTCACTAATTCCCCCGTCCCCTGGGGTCCCCAGGCCTGCTGGTATAACCAGGTCTTAAAGGACCTCCAGAAGGTCAGGAATGACAAGGTCAATCTCACCTCAAGGGGGAGAAGATTCCACAGCGTAGGCACCACAGCAGAAAAGGCCCGCTGCCTGGGGCCCGCCAAATGTAGCTCCCTAGGCAACGGAACCCGTAACATGCCCTCTCTGCTAGATCTGGTAGGATGGGCAGATAAAATTGAGGAGAGGTGGTCCCTCAGATAGCCCATCCCCATGCCATGAAGGGCTTTAAAGGTCAAAAACAGCACCTTGAATTGGACCCGGAAACAAACTGGTAACCAATGCATCTTGCAAAGCAGGGGTGTAGCGTGTTCTACTAGAAACACGCATAATTGCTCGTGCCACTGCATTTTGCACCAGCTGACATTTCAGGATACTCTTCAGGGGCAGCCCCACGTAGAGTGCATTGCAGTAGTCTAATCAGGAGGTGACCAGGGCATGAGTGACCGTGAGTAGGTCCCTCTGATTTAGAAATGGGCGCAACTGGCACACAATACAAAGATGTGCAAAGGCCCTCCTAGCCACAATGGCCACCTGCTCTTTGAGCAGGCGTCACAAGTCCAGGAGGACTCCCAGATTGCACACGGGGTCTGTCTGGGGCAGTGTGACCCCATCTAGTACCAAAGGTGGTAAAATCCTATGTTGCTTGTTTACTGTATGTACGCAAAGGGGGGTGGGGGTTGCAGAGGGTTGAGAAGAATTGAGCATTCAAATACGTAGGCTCCCATCTGCAAGAGGGCAGGCCAGGAAAAGGCTGATTGCTTAATTTTGATGATTCACAATGAAAGGTATCCTTTTCCTTTAGCAGATCCCCAGAGAGATTGTTACTAAGCACAAAGAAAAGTTTTTAATGAGTCTTTCTCCACCTGACCCTTCTGTTCCTTTTTTTCCATTTTTTTGCCCTGGCAGGTCAACTTGACAGCAACAATGGGTACTTTTCATGTGGCTGCAGAGGTAGAAGGCATCAGGGTGGAAGGGGAGGGAGGAATGCACCTCTCCCTGTCAGGGTCCCGGCTGGACAATCTAAACCGGCAAATGCAGTTTGTCACCTACACCAACACCCTCTTCCATCCTAACACAGCAGATACAGGTGGGTATGGGGGCAGTCATTGCCACTGCAGTCGTCCAGCACTGGGCTGAGGGGCAAACCACTGGAGGGGAGCGGTAGACATCCCTGTGAGAAATGAGAGCAAAGTGAAAAGGAAGTTGCTGGAAGTGAGGAGATAAGCCAAGACTTTGAGGCAGGCCTGTTCTTCAGATGGTCCCTCAGATGTCTCCTTTGTTAGTCCTTCGCTTAAGGAGCCTCCAATTAATATGAAGTTAATATGCATAGTATGGGACTATTATAGTAAAGGTAGAATCTTCCTTGAAGCAAGCTTCACTAGATGGACACACCCATGTTGTTCTCTTGGCAATGGTATGAGAGTAGGTTGCCATGACTTTCTTCCTAGATATTGTTTTAACTTTCCTGATGGATTCCACCAGTTCTAGTATGAAACAAGAAATGTGGTCTATGAGCCATCCAGAATTCAAATCTTGCCCTGCTGTTGAATAACCTGGGGTGATCTCCATCTTGCCAGTTCCTACGTGAAGATAATTGCTAGAGCAGTTGCAATTTGAGCAGATCCTGTTGTGATTGTAATCTGTTCTGTTCAAGCACGCAGAACCTACTCCCTTTTCCTTTCAAGAAAAGTTTCAGCAATAGAAGAAGCAGTGGGTGGAATCCTCTTTTGCTGCCCTGAAGTTCCCCAAGGTTGCAGTAACCCAATTCAGCAGCAAAATGCTGAACGTTGACAGTGCTGTGGGGGGGAAGCTAAACAAAAAAAGTGGCAGGGTGAAACAGGAGAGGGAGAAAGAAATTCCAGGAAGGTGCTTTAGAGGAACAATATTCTTTCCTCTGATATTCTCACAAGGGACAGGGAAATAATAAAGTGTTTTTTTCACCTGATTTATATTTAGAGCTGGGAGTACATTTGATAGGATTCGTTTTTCTGAGCAAAGATGCAGATCTGATGGGGTGGGGGGAGGTTGTTTCTCTAAAGCAATACTGTTGCTTTCCCAGTGAAAAAAGAATAACCTTGCTCTGTTACTGAATAACTGTGTTCCCTTTTCCTTGGTAAAACTTTTGCCCAGAAGAATTCCCACTTTGTTAGATTTCTGGCATACCAGAGAAGCAGACTGCAGTTCTGTAGGGACAAGCTGTTCTTCCTTTCTCTTGGCAGGCATTTTACCGAGAGGGGGAGGATCATGCTGAGCCCTGTGCTGTGAATTTCCTTCTCTTTTAAGGACTGTAGTTGTTTGAAAGGAAGCGCTCTGCTTCCTAATGCCAGCCCTGTCCTTCCTTGGCAAAGCCCTCACTGAGGAACAAAAGGGAATGTCCTGTGGATGGTCCTTTTAAACCCAGCCATTGCCTCTCAGCAGTCTTTCAGGTTGCTGCTTTTACCCCCAGATCCCTCTTCTGACTTGGTCTTTACTGGATTTGTATAGTGGTAGAGCTAAGTCAAGTCACCATCTAGGGAAGAGAACAGAGAGACTTGTGGTAGGGCATGGTGCAGCTACTTGTTTGAAAACTGTCACAGGATCAGCTCCTGCAGTAACAGACCAGTGGCCCATCTAGACCAGCTTATTCCATAGCGTGGCCAAAAGGTCTCTCTCAGAAGCTCACAAACTGTTAACGGGGCGGGGGGGGGGGGCTCACTGCTTTTGATCTGGCACCTGGGCTTCATGACTAATAGTCACTGATATCCTTATCCTCCTTGTCTAATTCCCTTGTAAAGGCATCTAAGCTAATAGCTGTCATTGCATCTTGAGGCAGCAAAATCACAGTTGTCTAGGCAGAACAGCCTTATGTTGATTCGGAGTCTCCCACCTCTTAGCTTTGCTAGGTTGTAATCTCATGAGAGTTAAAAAAAATCCTACACAGTGCATAATGTTATGCAAGGTTAATGCATTATATACAATGCCTACATTTGCACAATGTTGAGCCAGGATTTTTAACTATAGTTTGTTGCCCTAGTGGCTGGTTCACATGAAAAGCTAAGCTGTGGTGTGTAGGGTCCTGCACTATGCTAAACCAACCACAGGTGCCTCAAGGACATTGATTCCCAAGCTAGGAACATTTTCAGTATTGTTAGCGTCCTCTTCGTATAACCCACCTTTACTCAATCTGATGTCCTCCAGATGTGCTAATCTGTCATTTCAGCATAGTAACGATGGGCATTGAAGTCCATCATATCTAGAGGGCACCAGGTTAGAGAAAGCACATTCAAGACTAGTGTTTGGTCTCCTCCTTTGTTTTCCAGTGCAGTTTTCTACTGATAAGCATCGTGCAACTTTCACCATTCGCATCCGACACGCACCTACTCCCAGGCTCTACTATCCAGGATCGTCCAGTGGAGGAGCCAGTGAAGGTGAGTGCATCAGGTGGATCTATAGTTGTCTAAGACTCGTGTGGAAAGTATCCTAGCCTGCTGGATCTAGGCTGAGATTAGGAAAACATGAAGTTAACAGTGTTCTTGTAGGTGGAAATATGCTAATGGTGGAATCAAATATGCTAATGTCTTTCTGACTCCCACTTTCCCCAGGGTTATGCTGTGGGCTTTTAAAACAGGCCATAGAAGAAGCCAGAAGAATGCCCAGCCTTTACCCACTGCCACTTCAGGCACCCATTTTTAGGCAGTTATTAGCAAACTGGGCATAGGAAGCGATACTGTGTTTAGGACGAGAGCTTTCCAAAGTATTTATTGCTCTCTAGTGGCCAGTCTGAGCACTGCACTAGAGGAAGATGCTGGTGCCCTGCTCTGCTGTTTGTGGAACAATCTTTCCAGGGGCAAAGTGGCTTCTGGAGTGCCCTTGTTGCTGTTATTATTTATCAGTGAGTATTAGTTGCTAGACCTTTATTTATTTATTATCAGATTTCTGTGCTGCTCCAGTTGGAAGACGCTGACCTGCTTGTGATCTGCCTGTTATAATAAAGGTCAAATCACGCAAAGTGTAAGGAACAGCAAAATTAACAGGGAAGAGGCCATCCAGCTTTCTTTTAGCCTGAAAAATAAACATGGTGAAGAGGAGCAGCTTCTGTTTGCTTCTCAGACATCCTGCCAAACCCTCCCTCAGCCAAACTCTATTGTCAGCTCAGCTTTCCTGTTTTGTCTCTCCCCAGCATCCTACAACATCAGCGCCTTGGTCACCATCGCCACCAAAACCTTCTTACGCTATGACAAACTGCGAACATTGATTGACAGCATCCGAAAGTTCTACCCCACTGTGACCATCATCATTGCAGATGATAGCCTGGACATTGAACGCGTGCAGGGACCCCACATTGAGCAGTATTTCATGCCCTTTGGCAAGGTGAGAGACTCGCTAGCAGGAGCCCTCAGGCCTAACCTAGGCCATGTTCCTAAGAGGACTCTGAGTTTGGGAAGGATTTGGTGCCAGAGGTTCGGTGGGTAAGGAAAGGACTTAAGGGACCTCTGCTAAAATGGGCTCACTCCATTGCCCTCTTATGCTGGGAAACATTTCTGCAATGTGAAATTTGTTACAACAGGTTGAAAAGAATTTTTTTTTCATTGCAACTTATTGATTATCATATTTTAACTCCTAGTTAGGATGAGTAAAGAATGGAATTTCCCACCCACTTTTCAATATAGACTTTGCATATTTCTAGTCATCCAGGAGCAGTTGATAGATTTCACATGACATTCCTGAAAGTGAAGCATGGAAAACCTGACAACCGTATAGTTGAAGAGACTGAGACCCATGAGATTAGGATAAAAGTTGCCTTATGTTCGTAGGATAAAGATCAAGGCAGAACCACATTGTTGAGTCAGGGTATGGGCTAAAGGAAGGTGATAGGTGGGAATCTCATGAGGGTTGCAGGAGTAAAATCTGGAGCTCCATAAAAGATTACCTAGTTACCCAATTGAAGATGCAGAGATGAAATGGATGTACTGATCAGAGTGTTTTGAAAAGGTTGAGAAACAAAAGTTGGGATTATAAGGCCATTATTAAGGCACAGGTGCCAAGGATTGAGCTTGTGGTATGAAATGATGAAAGTAACAATTTTCAGTGCTTTGTGGTCAAGCAAGAGGAGCAACTGGCAATGCCCAGTTATTTGGCAAAATGCTCATAAACAGTCTTTTTAGCACCTCTTCTTCCCCTCTACCCTTACTTCCTAGGGCTGGTTTGCTGGCAGGAATCTTGCCATCTCCCAGGTGACAACCAAATATGTTCTGTGGGTGGATGATGACTTCATTTTCACAACCCGCACCAAAGTGGAGAAGCTTGTAGATGTCCTTGAAAAAACTTCCCTGGATTTGGTGAGTTCCTTCCCTGTGGTTGCTTTTGCTGGCTCTGGATCATCTTTAGGTGGTAGGGAGAGTTTTTAAGAGTAGAACAATAAAAACTTGATAAGTATGTAGTTGAGGACACTCAAACAGACCCATGAGGTTAGGATAAAAACTGTTCGCTGATCCTCAGATCAGAGACATGGGGAGAAAGCCAGGGATGCAGGAACCTTGAGTTAGGAGGAATTTGGTTTCAAGCTTAATTGCAATTTAAAACTTGATAGCCTAGTTCTACAATCCTGCAGCTTTTGGTGGGTGCAAACTGTCCTTAACAGAGAACAAACTTAGTCTGCTGATGCTCGATGTCACTCCTACTGCTGCAGTTTGCAAACCACAAGTTGGGAGTCAGGGGACATAACGGGGAGCCTAGACTGGAAAGACAGGAAACATTGCACAGGAAGTATATTTCTCCCAAAGCATAAGTGCATAGAAGAAAAAGGCCTCACTGCTGATCAGCCAGAATATTTGACTGCCTACAGTGATTGTAGATGGTTTTGTGGAATGATGGGGATACTTTGAGGAGCAGGTGTGAGGTTTTCAGCATATGTGATAGATCTCATAGTTGGTACAGAAATGTGGAGGTAGATTCACATCCAGGACTGTGATTTGAACATCTCCGTATTCTGTAACATGGTGTGAATCAGTTCTGAGTACAGTTGATAAGAGACAAAAGAAAGGCGTATTCCTTTCTAAAATATATCACCCAGTGGTTATTTTTGGATACAGCATTGTTTAAATCCCCAATTCCTGATTCAGGCTTAATTTGTTCAAGGATATTTGTTGATTTTACCTATTTCACTAAAGCTCTTATAGGCACCCACTCTTACAAAATCTAAGTTAAAACAATTAAAAACATAGACCAAGCAAAACAAAAATGGGCATTAAAACAGGGTTAAAAGGATTATAATAATGAATAACCCCCCCCAGAAATCAATTTTTCCTCCTCCTAACCCTTCACACACACACACACACACACACACGCACGCACGCACACACAAACGCACTCCACCCATCCTCAACATTATCTCTTGTTCTCTGCAGGTGGGTGGAGCAGTACGGGAGATTACAGGTTACACCAACACATATCGACAGCAGATCAGCGTGCAGCCTGGTGGTGAGGATGGAGATTGCTTGCGAACCCGTCAGGGCTATCACCACGTCATCGAAGGTTTCCCTGATTGCGTAGTCACTGATGGTGTGATCAACTTCTTCTTGGCACGTACAGAGAAGGTGCTGCAAGTGGGCTTTGACCCTCGCCTCAATCGCGTTGCCCACCTTGGTGAGTGACGCTGCCAGCATGGGAGACTCTTAGCTTGGACCAGTCTTAGTTAGCATATCTAGCTATAGAATAGCCTTTGCTTCCTATATAGAAGATAGCAAGGGAATCCAAATCACACAAACAATCCAAACAGTGAACTCAGGATTCCTTTGAGGTTGTAGCCCCGTGTTTCTCAACCTCAGCAACTTTAAGATGGGTGGACTTCAACTGAGTGCAGCCTGGGGAATTCTGGGAGTTGAAGCCCACCCATCTTAAAGTTGCTGAGGTTGAGAAACACCGTTGTAGTCTTAACAGATGCGTGAGTCAGATTTGTGAATACCAACAGGATCTGCAGCAAGTTGTCCTTATTTCATTCAAGATGTTAATTGGCCTGTAACAACTTCTTCTGAAGTCAGCAGGAAGGTTCAAAAAGCATGCACACAAGGACTGTCTGTTGAAGAGCCATAGCCTATGCTCATTTTTCTCCTTTGCTCTGGGTATTTCTAATTCCAGAGTTCTTCATTGATGGCCTGGGTATTCTGCATGTTGGTTCCTGCTCCAATGTGGTGGTAGACCATGCCTCTAAGATCAAGCTACCATGGTTAAAGTCGGTGAGTGAGAAGCAATATGCCAAATTCCGTTATCCCAACTCGAGTGATGATAGTATGTACACCAAGCAAAGCCTTTTCTACTTCAAGAACCATTTCAAATGTATGATGGGCGATTAGTCTTTGCTGAGAGGGTGCTGAGCCCCTCCACTGACAACTGGCTAAGTCCTCAGGTGATTGGGCCCACCAGTCCCGGACCACCTGCTCTGGTGGCTAGCCACAGCTCTTGGCAAACAGGCTTGTCTGTCCACTAGCCAAATGCCCAGAACTCAGGGAGGCTTCAACATTCTCAGGCCTGAAGAAGGACTTGAAAAATGAGCTTCAATGCTGCTTAAAAGAAACAAACCTGTGTTCTAACAGAATTAACTGGCCCAGCTACTCCATCTTCCAGACCTTGTTGGTGAAAGGATGCTGTCTGCATTTGCATTTTGTTTTACCTATTTTGCATCTGAACTGAACCATATTCCATGGGGAATAATCTGGGAGAGGCTGCCCCATGAAGCCTAGGTATTTTTCCCTTTTCTGGTTAAGAGCAGCCATCTGCCTATGTTACTGCTGGACTCCCCCTCCAACTTTGGACTTGCACACACCTACAGGTCAGGTCAAAAACTTGCAGGCTCTGGCAATATCCCAGCATCCTTTGCTTCCGTTTAATTTAAACTACAGAAGGGGACAGGCTCAGAGGCGGACAAAACCTGAACTTTCTCCAATGTCACAATTTCTGTGCCAAGGCTTTGAATCTCAGCCTCCGCCCTGGCTCCCTCCAACCTCCAGCTGATGCCGTTCTGGGATATTTTGAAGTGCCAAAGACTAATGATGGAAAGGCACCACCAGGGGGAAGCCTTGAGGTGTGCACTGCAGCAAAGCAGCCTTGAACTGGGAGAGGACTATCAAGCGCACACCGGATTCAAGGTGCTCCCAGGCTTATTCTCTCCCGACAGCAAAAGGGGCCTGATGCGCATGGATAGTGGAGGGTGGACCAGCTTATTTTCTAAGGGGATACTTTAGTGTGTGTGTGTGTACACACACACACATGGTGAAGCAGAAAGACTGTCCGTGACAGATTGCCTTTTTTTTTTTTTTATTTTAGACAGAATCCATTTCCAAAGTTTTTTCTCATTCCTCAAACCTCTCCATCCCCAGTCTCTGGCTTATTAATTCCAATCCTGCAACCTTCTGCGCTGTTGCTTTTCCTAAAACTATGGTTTGTTAGGGAGGTTAAAAAAACAACACAAATCAGGGGTGGGTTTGACCTTTTTTGTATGTGTTTAGTTCCCTTGCATGGGGTTGGCCCATATGATGGGCCCCACAAGAGCCTGCATCCACTCCTGCACTCCTTCCTGGCAGCTGGGCTGCCAATTTCATTGGGATGAAAATAGCCACGGCACCAGCCCAACCATTTAAGATACGGGTGCATTTTTAGTGCAGGGAGTGACAAAAATGAGACAGGTATGGTAATTTCAAAATCTCTGTAGCAGGAGTGGTATAGGAATTCACACAGGCTGATTCACAAAGTTGTTTCTTGCTGCAAAAGGACGAAGGATGGAAAATTCCATCTTGCTAGATGAACTTTTTGAAAATAAAGGATTGTGTAGGATCCGGTTGTTGGAAATAAGATATTGGTTGGGTATGGCCTAGAAGCCGCAAGGAAAGCAGCAATTGTATTCATGCTTATTTGGGAATAAGCTGTACTAACCACAATAAGACTTTAAGTACTATTTTATGTGGAATTGTCCTCCTCATACCCCCAGAACAATGCAGTAAATAAATTAAGCACACTTCAATGCTAAAAACGATGGCACTGCATTTTGCTTCCCCCCATGTAAGTAGGAAAGAAGCTACTGAGGTTGCTCCCCTGCCTGGCGTGCTAATTTTGATAAAAATTCCAAAGCTTGTTTGTTCATTTATTTATATATTTGCTGTTCAAGGATGGGTGCATACAAACATGCAGCTCTGAGTTGGTGCAGTCCAAGAAAACCTCAGGTCCTTGACACTGCTGAAGGTGTAAAATGATTCCTGTTCCCAGTCATTAGCATTCGCCAGATGCTCGGGGGCTTCCGGCAAGATTGTTCTTGTGCTGCTGCTCTGCCTTATTCGTTGCATTTTAGGAGGGGTCAGAACTTGGTATGGCCCTCCATATGTGAACCTTTGGCTGTTTTCTTGCCACTTCACTCTTTTTTCACTCCAGAGAAAACTCTGCTAAGGGAGAAAGGGTGGAATAACTGCATCAAGTTTTAGCTGGATTCAGTGCAGCATCCCAAAACGAAAATAATGGGAAATCCAGGCCCTGTGGATGTATATGATTTGGTTACGCCCGCTTGGCATCACTGCCTCACCTGTGGTAGTGCTTGCCTTCTGTCATCCAAGGCTGCCTCCCGTAGTGTTAGGCTGAATAAGTAGGATGGAGATCCATAGTTGCAAGCACAGAGCAATAATCTAACCAAGGAATGTTGTCCTGGTTCTGGGCATTCACAAGAACCTCCAGTTACCTGCAAGCATGCTTACCCACTAAAGAGAGGTGCGGGCTGAGAAATGTAGGTTTGTCTCTAGGGCAGCTGGTTGCAAACCTACAACAATCATTTATACTGAATGGTATGAGAGCTCATTCCTCCAGAGCAGAGCTCCCTCTCCACCCAAGCCAAACCCTGGCAGAACTAACCGGGTCAGTTAAAGAGCTAACAGTTGCATTTGCTCAGTTAGAGTTGTTTTGTTGTTTCCTTGTGTGGTACAAATCCCATTTGGTTAACTTATGATTCAATATATTGTGCAAACTCCAAAACATGAATCAGTTCATTAACCACGTTTAGTATGTTGGCTGAACCTAACTAGCAAATCAAAGGCTGTGTTAGTGCATCTATACCCTTTTATCCTACTGGTTAGAACAGCAGTTCTGGTCTGAGAGAATCTCTCTTGCAACGAACAGGGAGAAAAGAGGGGCTACCTTTCATTTCTGGCAATCAAGCCGTTCCCTATTCCCCATTGTGCATTATTTCCCAGGCTGAACCCCTCTCTTCCCTTCATTTTGGCCTCAATGACTTATTCTGTGATGACTTCATTTTGGGGGGGGGGCGTAATAAAGGATTTTTAAAAAATTAATAAATTTTGTTTTGCTGTTGTGTCCTAAAATTTTCTGATAAGGGTTCAAGGAGAAAGGAACCAAGACAGGTGGGAGCGCAAAAGAACCCTGACACAGCAGTTGTGGACTGCTTCAGGCTGTTGCTGGCCACGGAGGTTGTCCCAGGAAGAAGATCTGCTAAATCTGGGGGCCTAGTTCTTCTTGCCAGTCTGCTCTTTCCTTGTCTGTCCATTCCTGACAATCCGGCCTTCCAGTAGCAGGAAAATCTTGGTCTCGTAGGCAGCCTGCTGCCTTTCCTGAATCTCTGTGATCGTAGATGGCCTTTATCCTGGTAGATCTCATTGTCTTTTACCCTTGGCAGGAAGACAAGTTATACCCAGATGGTTGGATCCTTCTGTTCCACTTTTTCCTGAGCAAAAACCAATGTTACTCATGAGCCACTATGCCATATAAAAAAGCTACTATATACTTTCCCCTCTCATATTACCTGCTAGCTTCTGTGCCTCAAGCCTACACAGAGAGGTGCAGAGATCCCCCAGTGTGTACAATCACTGCAAAGGGTAGCAGAGGGACTCTGATGACGATCTGAACATTCTAAGTCTGTAAATGATTGTAAGGCAGCTTTCTCCAACCTGGTACCTGCTGTGGGAGCTGAGCTATAACGTCTACCAGTGTCAGCCATTGTGGCGATTGAGTGGGGTGAAGGAAAGTGAAGGGCAAAACATCAGTTGGACATCAAGTTGGAGAAGGTAGTTTTAAGATGTCTGAAGTAGAAAAAACTCTGGAGGATGGTATTCAGCTAGTTTCTAGTTTGAAAGGAAATGGAAGGGTAATATTCTTGCCTCACCTAAAAGGGCCTGGGGCAGGGGCGTGTACCTGGAACTTCCCCTTTAAAAAGGGTAGCGGGATGGCCAATTTCCTGGCTAATCCTCTGTATCTAAATCTAGCTCCGCACAGGCGATGTCCCACTCTAGAGATGCCGCAGTGAATGGCTCTCACTTTTTAAAAATCTCCTAAGAGAGATCTTCTTAATAGCCATTGAAAACGACCAGTTAAGGCAGCACTGAGGAAGGAAGACCTACTCCTAAATAGCATCTGAAGTAGCAAACACGGCTGGGTTGACCAAGACTGCAGGTGGTGGATTGTTTCAAGTAAAACTACACACACACACACACACACACACACACTAGAAAATTAAGACTCAGGATAAATTGCTTATATGTGCAGATTTATCTCATGGGTTGGACACTAAATGACAGCCTTGTGCTGTTTGAAAGCTGGGCTGTGGGTGCCCAACCATGCTCTCCTTCCCCTTCCCCTTCCCCTTCCCCCACGCCCCATAGAACAGCCTGAACGGAAACCAAAGGGGAAAAAGGCTTTCTTATTTTCTCTGCTGACTCTCAGATTCTTACCGTGGTTTGCTGGAGATAGGAAACAGCATCATGAACGGTGACGAATATCTGCTGGGGGGTTAGGTGATGCATGAGGCCACAAAAACTCAAGGTCTGTAGAACGTTGGCTGGGTGGACAAGAAGACACAGAGGACACTCAGGTCTCATGCCACATGTGGGGCTCAGCAGGAGCCCCGCATGTATGTTTTGACAACAGCGATGGGCCCTTCCTACCTCCACAACTCAACAGAATTGTAAACGCTGAGCCACGAATCATGGGATTTAAAAAAAAATCTGATACTGTAGTGACATGGGTGAGTGAACTGGCACTTCAGATTGAGTTGGAGCACTTCTAGATCATCACTCTTTCCTAGGCCCAATCTCTCAAAAACCAGCTGGAAACAACCTGGAATGTCATTCCAGCAATCCATTCAGAAGGGCTAAGGGAGGGCAGGGAGAAGTCCTTGTTGCAGGCCAACTGTCCCACTCCATGCCAAGGGAAGAGAGTGAAAAGGAGCAAAGGCCCAAGCAAAAAGGGGCAGACTCTTGGCATTTTCACCCCTGCTCACTTCACTTGGGGGAGCTGTGACACTGGCCAGCCTTTCCAGCTGAAAATTGGCTTTAGAGTGGGTCCTGTTGTACCACAGCTGGAGTGGAGGTAAATGGCCTCAGCTGCCAATGGCAGAGGATCGCAGGGGTGCGGAGCCAGGCCAGGAAAACAGCCGCAGGTAGTCCTTGGGTTATGACCACTTGTTCAGCGACCATCCAAAATTATGACAGTACTGAACAAATGGTACTTGCGACTAGTCCTTGGAGTTCTGGCTGTCACAGCATCCTGTGGTCATGTGATCATGATCCAGACACTCAGCACCCAGCTCACGATTATGACGTCGCAGTGAGCCATGGTCACGTGATTGCGATTTCCAACCTTCTCTGCTGGCTACCCCAAGCAAAGTCAATGGGGAAGCTGGCAGGAAGGCAGAAGTCGCAACCATATGAGGTCCTCACTTAATGACCTGTGTGGTCCTTGCTTAACGGCAGCAACCGGGACTGCCAGAATTACTGTCACTATATGATGTGGTCATGTGATGTCACGCATTACAACCTTGGGGCTTAGTGACAGCAATTCTGGTTCCAATTGCCGTCATAAGCCAAGGATGACTAATAGTGTGAAAGTAGCAAGTGGAGTGGAGGCAGGGAACAAATGACAAATGCAGCATCATGCCATTGTGACACAAGTTCCACCCCTTTCATATGTGTGTCATGATACTGCATAAGCATACAAAAGGGGTGGAGCTTGCTTTGCAGTGGTGTGTGATGTCACTTTCTTCACTTCAACAGAAGCATCAGATCCTGTGGCTGTTTCTGGGCCCTACTGAAGTGAAAGCGATTGCTTAGGAGGTCTCCTTTCTACAATGTTTATTAAAAATGGCTGTAAGAAGAGGGAGAGAAGATTCAACGTAGGTAGACCACAGACCTGGAGATGGGCATCTACCATATAACTCCCTCCCCCAAAACTGGTGTCTGTGGATCTTGATTTGAATCCCCCATCGCAACCACAATGGCTGATTTTTTTTTTTAACGCAAATATAATAAGATGCCAATGCAGTCCCTCAAGCACCCATCACTCATCTCCTTGGCTTTCAGTGATACCAAGGTAGGTGACTTGTTGGGAAGACCCTGTGCAATAGATTTCTGGGTCTGCATCAGATAAAGAACCACATCACCTCTCCTCCTTTGTAGGTGAGAAACTATCAGTGCAGGAGATGTACAGGATCTCTCTTATGCACTGGGGCTTCCTGTTGAGGGAACTGACCGTAGCCAACTTGGTTTTGCTTCTAAGGAACAAGTGAAGTGGGCCAAACCCACCAATTAAAAAATGTATATTCTTTGCTGATGAAATATACTTCTTAACATTTAGATTTTGGAAAAAAAGGAAGGCCATTAGGGTAGCTTTTTCCTACCTGGTACCTTTGAACTAAAGCTCCATGATGGAGTCCAACTAGGGAACACTGGAGTTCTAGTCCAATGCCTCTGAAGGACATCAGAGTGAGGAATACTGAACGAGAACAATAGGAAGATTGATAGCATTTCTTACTTCACTCACCATTACAGGCAGACAAATGTATCTGCATGCCAGCTTTTTGACATTCCACACAGACCTAAAAGGAAAGAAAAGCCATTTGTAAAGCAGCTTAGATGGGGTCTCTGATGACTAAGATCCTGATGCACAATGAACATTTACTGATTTTGGCACAAGGAGGGGACCCAGCTTGTGTCCCACCCCATAGTCTATTATACCGGGGCAGCTGTTTTTCCGTATAATGGAATATATCGTGCCTTCAATATAAAAAAGCACAACTCTAGTTCATTTATCAATGTCTTACTTTAAAAACAGTCCAATTAGGCCCTGGTAAGTTATAACCCTTCTTAAAGGGCATTGTAAAAGGGAGAAGAACATTATTTAAACTGACCTAGAGCAACGTAGTTGAGTGAGGCAATGCTGTATGGAGTGAGAGACAAATGGCTTTTTAAAAATCCTTTTTGCTATCATGTAAACAGACTTCTCTTCTGTGGAAAGTCATACTCTGGCTCCGGGGTGCTTGTGGGCCCAGTGTGTCTGCACACAACACCCTGAGTATCTACCAGGCTCCTTGCCTCGCCTGCTTTTTCACATCATTCAAAACACTATTTCAATTCAAACAGTGAGATGCTGGCGTGCTGCAAAGCCAAGGGCCAGCCTGCAGCATTACCTTCACTTTCAAAAAGATCTCTGTTTCTTAGAAGAAGAAAATGATGGGCAGGTGCAGTTCAGTGCTGTTAGGAAAATCTGCTCGTTCACACAGAAAAAGACGAAAAGAAATGGGTGTAGAAGAGAGCATCAGGCAGGAGGGTCACCTAAAGGCTGGGACAAGAGGCACCCCACTATATTGGCTTTGTAACTGGTTTATGTTCCCCATGGCTGCCATTTGGAGAATGGGAGAGCTCACCCCCCACTGTAACAGCCATTGTCTAGGCGTACCCACAGCATGTTCTCAAAACTCCAGATGTGCCCAGCAGCCAAATGTCGAGCGACTCCCAATCTAACAGAACTTCTGCTGTTGTTTTGAGAGGGGAGGGAGACCCCTTCATCATCTTCTTTTCCCTTAGCTGAACCCAAACCAAAGAGCTCAGAGCAAATGTGGGGTATGGTGGTTAAGCAGTGGACTAGAACTACAGACACCGGGGAGTTCAAATTCCCACTCAAGAGATCCCTCTGATTCAAATGAACCTCGGGCCAGGGGAATTTGTCCCTTCTCTAACAGTCCAGAAGAAGAGCAGAGGAAAAGAAAAGAGAGAAGAACTATGAGGAGTGTCAGAAAAAGAGAGAAAGGGCAGCCTTGTCCACTTTTGATCAGACCCCATCCATCCCTTTCATGCAGTCCTTGACAATATGCCCCAGGTGGATCTGGCCTTTGGCCAAAAAGAGGTTCCCCATTCCTGTTCTAAAATATGAGAATCATAGATAGCTCCAATGCCAGGGGTCAAGACATTTTCCATGCTGCAGGCACCATCAGTCCCCCTCCCCCCAAAAAGCCTGAACTATCAAGAGATTAGGAAATCTCAAGGTATTTCAGCGATTGCCCCACAAGATCTAGTGAACTCCCATAGGATCTGGTGAGATTCTAGCCACGTTAAATTTTAAAAATATCTTTTTTTTTTTTAATTTTTGGAGGGCTGCAAGTACTGTTCTGGGCTCCAGTTAAGGAAAGATCATCTGGAGAGACACTCTGGATTCCAGTCCTGATTTAGTCTCAGCACTCATCGGTTTTGATTGGCAGTACTTCCCGAACCTTATTATCATCAATCCCTCTCCTCCTCTACACACACAGACACACACACAGACACACACACATTTGTCTTTTGATACCTGGATAAGGAGCCGTGCTCCAGATGAATCCACAAAGGATATTCCACTGCAGTCAAGTATTATAGCCTGGACATCTAAACCTGGAGAGGAAAATGAGACAGAACCCATATCAACCAGCCTCAACCACTGTGGTTCCACAGCAGCCTCTCTAACAGTTGCCATGTGCTATCCTACACATGTACTTTGGTCTCCAGATGGTTTTTACACCAGCAGAGAAGAATAAGATTAATGTGAAATTCTGGGCCAGGCACACACATACATTTCTTCTCTAATCCACCCAGTGTAGAAGAGAATTATCCTAACAAAGCATGTCTGATAACTGCACACAAGCACAAAGAGAGAATTCAGCTTGGTGTTCCCACACAGGATGGGCTTCCATTGCCATAACTCCCAGCTGGATGGGGATTGAAATTCAATGACTCCGGAGGCACAAAGTTGGGGAAGGCTAGTTTAGCAAACAATTAGCTGTACAGTACTGAAAAGCAAGGAATATGATGGTTTGTATCTGGAACGTGGTATCCTCTCTAGAATTGAGGAAAGATTACAGCAGATGTTCCACCACGGGGTTTAAAATGTATATTTACACAAGAAAATTGCCCAAGAACAAGAAAGGAATTAACCTTTGGTTACCTGAGCTAAGCTTCTTTTCCAAGACACAAACACTGCTCTCCTGGGGAAAAAGAAAAAGAAGAAGGGAAAAACCCAACATTTAATTTCCATTTACAAACAGAAAGAATTGACCTATCCCACTTCACACATAATAAAACCTCTAACAGTGGGGTCATACACAGTTAGTCATATGATGTGTTTTCCACCAAAGGATCTTTTGAAGGTTTTTGTATGGGAAGCCAGTTATCATAGAAAACCAACCCTCAAATTCAGTTCAACTTGAGTCACTGCTTTGACTTACCCCACAGGGTGAACACAGCCAACATCTTGACTTATGCCCCACTTAATCTCCACATATATAAGAGCTACTATACAGAATTCACTCTCTTATAATACACAATTTTTACAGGAGGGGACGCACACTTCAATCACTCCGGTTTGGTCTAACCTGCCAAATGGAAGTGACTAACCAGCCATCAGAGTTTGTCCCATACTTTGTTTAGTCTCACCCTTGGCCTAGAGCAAACAGGAAGCTGAGGTTTAGCAGAAGCTCAGATCTCTAGTTTGTCCCTGGGTTCAGTGGACCTTGTTGTGTCTTATGGGCATGGAATCAAATTCGCTACCCTGGACTAATTTTATCATCCAGCAAGGAGTCCATCAGCTTGGTGGCAAATATAGAGGGGCCTCTTTGGCTGCTCTTCTGAACTCTCTGCAGGGGTGTCCAGGGAGGGGGGAGTCAATGGTGGTCATAACCCTGTGATCAAAACCCCACCCCTTTTTTACATATGTCATAATGCACTTAAAAAGGGTGAGGCTTTGATGACAAGGTTGTAGTCACCATCTTGATTTTTTTGACCCCTTCATTGAAAATACCCCTGACTCCTTGGCTGTGCCTCTGGGCTAGAGGACAGAGCTGTCCATGGTGTACAACCAGTTCTGAGCACCTGAATCCATCTGGTTGTCTCAGATGGGACAGAAGACAGTGCTTCATTTCAGGACCGAGATAAGACTCAGCTGAGTGTCAGCTATGTGCAAAATGTAAAGAAAAGTAATACGTATTTGTCTGTTTGGATTTTTATAATATTTATAACCCAACTCAGTCTTGACAGACTCTGGTACAACAAAGAAAGAAGGCAAGAGAAAAAGCTCATCATCAACTATTAAAATTATATCATTAAAAGCCATTAATAAACTTCATGGACCCCTTAAAACTAAACTATTCTAATCTAAAGACTGAATAGGCGGAACAAAACCACTTTAGCTTGTTTACAAAACACCATCAGGCTTGAGGACATCCAAAACTCCAGGATCAGATATTAAAAAAAAAAAAAAAAGCTTAAAATAGTATCTCTTCCTCCAGATCAGGCAGCAAAAAGCACTTGCTGACCTCTACTTCCATGGACGCTCTACCACCTGGCTAGACGAACCCTTGAGTGAGCTTGCTTTGATCTGAATTGAACCCACAATACTTGATCTGCCCCGGCTCTCCAACCTCAAGTTTTTTACCAGGACCCTTACCACTGTAGCAATGTCCATTTTAATCCTGCTGTTAGACTGTGGATCTTCCCAGCCTCGCTGCAGCCCCACCAGTTTGCTGACAATATCTCTAAAGAAACTCCGGTTTCCGTAATAGATGGGGGCCTGGTAACTTAAGATCTTCACGCCTGGGATCTCGAAGCACTAAGAAGAAGAAGAAGAAACAGGATAGATAAATGGAATACATATCATTCACTGGGTTTGGGAAGGTACATGGCAGGCTTGCCCAACCTGGCACCTATCCAATGACTTAGGCTACAGATCCCATCATCCATGGTCACCTGTGACAAGGGACCTTCCCAAAGGAATGAATGAAGATGATTGGGGGATGTAACCCAACGCTTCTGAAGAGCACAAATTGGAGGGAAGTAATCATAGTCATGCTCCTATTACAGACTCGACTTCACAGCCTGCACTGTAGCACAAGTATTCTTAAAAATAAATAAAATGTCCTTGTTAAGGTAAATGGAATAAAATTACATTTTGGGGGAGATCTCTGAAGTTCTAGAATTGGAACATTACAACAACCTGTTCTCATTCATTGAGTTCTTTCTCTTCATTAAGAATAAAAGGGGGAAAAAAAGATGATCCCATATTAAAGCAGCCCTTATACATATCAGCCCAGGAGTTAGTCCTGTTGAGTTCAAGGAGACTTTCTCCCAGCCAGATAAGTAGGAACAATTGCCACCATTTTTACCTTGCTATTGTACTTGACAGGCTTGTAGATTTCTGTATCAGCTGCTCTGCCCAGCACAGAGCATTCAGCCCTGTTAAATGGAAAAAATAAAGCAAGGAGAGTAAAGTGATATTACATTGGATCCTCTGCCCCCAGAAGCATGCAGATAATATTTTGGTAGTCATTGGGGACAAGGCAGAGATACCATCCCCAAAGGATACATTGTTAAAGGATTCGCTCTGCATTTACATGGACGTTTGGAAACCAAGGAGGACTTAGCCCAGGCCTTATGGCTGAGGACAAGATGTGGGGCAGAAAATCCCCATTATGATACTGATCCCCTTTCAAGAATGGTGCTACCCTAAGGTCTTTTTGGCACACTTAACAAGAGGAACTTGGGTTCCAACAGTTGGGCTTAATCCAGCATTCAGCAAGAGAACCCAGCAGAGGGAGGATGACTAGTACGAAGTTACCTCTGTGTGCGGCATACAACAGTCATCATGGAGAACACAACTCCCACTGCCAGGCCAAAGTCTACATTGAGCACAACCACGGAAAGCCATGTGACCACCCACACAGCCTGTAAGAGAATTGAAAAAATAGTAATAGAGCTATCCAATTCCTAACCAGCACACCCAGTTCCAAGGGGGTTAATGGAGACCAGCCTACCACAGCTTTAAATTATGAACTGCCTTCATAGTTCATAATTTAAAGCAGTGTTTCTCAGCCTTGGCAACTTGAAGATGTGTGGACTTCAGCCCCCAGAATTCCCCAGCCAGCATGCTGGCTGGGGAATTCTAGGAGTTGAAGTCCACACATCT